CCCCCTCAGGGCTGGGGACTGCAGCACTGCCCTGGGCAGCCCCTGCCAGGCCCTGAGAACCCAAATTCACCTCAATTCACTCAACTGGGCTGAATTAATTAACCTGAATCTGCCCAATTAACCCCAGAATCGTTTGGCTGGGCCCAGGCATAAACAGATCTGTCCCTGAAGGCACTTCAGTGGCCATTTTGTTGGCATCTCTGGTGCCGCCATGGCAACCATTTTGGCAGCCCAAGCCCTCCTGGAGTCAACAGGGGACAGGTCCAAGGCCAGCGACACTGGCACCCAGAGCCGCTCACCTTGGATATGTAGAAGGCCTCCGTGTGCTTCTTGTAGAGGGCGAGGATGCCGGGAATCAGCTTCGGGAGCTGCTCCTCCAGCTTCTCGCTGGGCAGGAGGTAACTCATCGGGCCCATGGCCTCCACCACCGCCAGCCGCAGCTGCAGGGAGCAATGCGGCATTAATGGCGTGGCCAAAGTCCAGGCAGACAGGGCCACCAAAGCCACGGAGCTGCTCTTCCAGATGCTTCCAGGAGCCTCTCAGCAGAGGCAGGGGCAGCGTTTTGGATGGCTTTGCCCGTCAAAGCGCAAGGGGTGCTCAGCAGAGAAGGGGGACACCTAAATATGTCACCCACACCTGCAGAGGGCAGAACCTGGCTGGCCATCGCCCAGCTGTGGCATATGCCCAGACTTGTCCCCCTAAAAGGGCTGCTGTGACCCCACGCTTGGCTTTCCAGCAATGGGGCGCAAGCGACGGATGGGACACGAGGACAACGGGAACCAAGCAGGGCATGGGGGGGAAAACATCCAGCCCCAGATTGGGGCCTTGCTCTTCTGGAGGCCACGTCCTTACGCAAGGGTGCAGCTGAGATGCTGCAAGGCTGGTGTCAGACTAAAACCCCCCAGTCCACACCCAGGGAGGCCTCGTTGTGTCCCCCCTGTCCTCCCCAAATCCTCACCTTGGCTTCCCGGTGCTGCAGCCAGCTGTTGAAGAGCACTTCGTAGGCGCAGAAGATCTCGTTGGAGAAGGTGTCCTTCCTCACCGTGGGGTCGGGGGCCTTGTCCAGGTTCGCCAGGTACTCCTGGATGCTCTCGCTGAAGTGCTGCAGAGCTACGAGATGGACCCCGCAGTCAGATTTCTGTACGGTGTTTATTTGAACCCCTCCAGAGAGGGGATGGTCAAAGGGCTGCTCTGCTGGGCAGCACTTCAAGGGACAGCGGATGTGCCAGGACGCTCCCTGTCCTGCTGGGACTTCCCCAGAGGGGCCCTGGCTACAAGGGATCCTAGGTGGGAGGGATTTGGCTATGAGGGATCCTGGCTACCAGAGATACCGGCTACAAGAGACCCTGGTTGTGAGGGAACCCAGCTACAAGAAATCCTGATGAACAGGGATCCTGGCTATCAAGGATCCCAGCTGTGAGGGATCCTGGCTACCAAGGATTCCAGCTACAAGGGATCGTGGCTGCAAGAGATCCCGGCTACAAGAGATCCCAGCTACCAGGAATCCCAGCTACAAGAGATCCTGGCAATCAGGAATCCCAGCTACCAGGGATGTTGGCTAAGAGGGATCCCAGCTATGAGAGATCCTGGCTACTAGTGAACCCAGGTACCAGGGATCCTGGCTACAAGGGATCCTGGCTACCGGGAATCCCAGCTACCAGGGATATTGGCTGCAAGGAATCCCAGCTACAAGAGATCCTGGCTAATAGAGAACCCTGCTACCAGGGATCCTGTTGAGTGCAAGCCCCTTTTGTTGGGTGCAAGCCCCTCTTGTTGGGTGAAAGCCCCTTGTTGGAGGAAGCCCCTTGTTGGAGGAAGCCCCTTGTTGGAGGAAGCCCCTTGTGAGAGATCTTGGCTATCAGGGTTCTCAGCTACAAGTATCCCGGCCACAAGGGATCCTGGCTACCAGGGATTGCGGCTACCAGGAATCCCAGCTACAAGAGATCTCAGCTACAAGGCGTCCTGGCCACAAGGGATACTGGCCACTGGGGATCCTGGCTACCAGGGATTGCGGCTACCAGGGATCCCAGCTACAAGAGATCTCAGCTACAAGGCGTCCTGGCCACAAGGGATACTGGCCACTGGGGATCCTGGCTACCAGGGATTGCGGCTACCAGGAATCCCAGCTACAAGAGATCTCAGCTACAAGGCGTCCTGGCCACAAGGGATACTGGCCACTGGGGATCCTGGCTACCAGGGATTGCGGCTACCAGGGATATCGGCTGCGAGGGATCCCAGCTACGAAAGATCCTGGCTACAAGAGATCTTGGCTATCAGGGTTCTCAGTTACAAGTATCGTGGCCACAAGGGATCCTGGCTACCAGGGATCATGGCTACCAGGCGATTCCAGCTACCAGGGATCCTGGCTGTGAGGGATCCCAGCTATGAGAGATCCTGGCTACCAGAGACCCCAGCTACCAGAGATCTGGGCTATGAAAGATCCCGGTTACCAGGGATCCTGGCTGTGAGGGATCCCAGCTATGAGAGATCCTGGCTACCAGAGACCCCAGCTACCAGAGATCTGGGCTATGAAAGATCCCGGTTACCAGGGATCCTGGCTACAAGGGATATTGGCTGCGAGGGATCCTAGCTACAAGAGATCCTGGCTACTGGAGAACACAGCTACCAGGGATTCCAGCTACTAGGGATCCTGGGTGCAAGAAATCCTGGCTACCAGGGATCCCGGCTGCAAAGGGTCTCAGCTACAAGAGATCTCAGCTACAAGAGATCTCAGCTACAAGAGATCCTGGCTACCGTTGATCCCGGCTAGCAGAGATCCTGGCTACCAGGGATCTTGGCTGTGAGGTGTCCTGGCTACCAGGGATGCTGACTGTAAGAGATACTTGCTGTGAGAAAGATCCTAGCTGTGAGGGGTCCTGGCTTCCTGGAATGCTGACTACCATGAATCCTGGCTACCAGGGATCCTGGCTGCGAGGGATTCTGGCTACAAGAGATCCTGGCTACCAGGAATCTGGGCTGTGAGGAATCTTGGCTACAATGTGTCCTGGTTACCAGGGATCCTGGCTACCAGGGATCCTGGCTACAAGAGATGCTGGCTACCAGAGATACCAACTACCAGGGATCCTGGTTATCAAGGATCCTAGATGCCAGAAATTCTGGCTACAAGGAATACCAGCTCCCAGGGACCCCAGCTACAATGGATCCCAGCTGTGAGGGATCCTGTCAGGCATCCACACCATTGACCCTCACTGCATCACAGTCCCTGGGCCAGGGCTGTCACAACTCGCTCCAGAGACCCACAGCCCCCACCCACAGGAGCCTGCATTTGCCACGTGGGTGATCTCCACGCATTCGTTAGCAGCCAAAGCAGCCACAAGTTACTGCCCTGCGGCCACGGGCAAGCCAGAGCACCGCACCCCAACAGGTTCGTCCAGTCTCTGGGCCACCACGTGCTGCCTGTGAGCACGGGTTGCTTTTCCTCTTGCAAACATGCTCTCATCACCAGCACAACTCGCATAAAGACTCGTCCTGGTTTGAGCCAACCAGACCTGATTTT